ATAATTATTTAAATATCTAAAATAAATATTATTTTATCATTGTTAAAAGATATATTTACAATGGAATTGTTAATCCAGATAACTTGAACCCAGATGAAATTTTTGAACTTCTTGAAGCATGTGATGAATTAAATATTGATGAATTAATTGAGGACTTGCAAAATTATTTAATTATTGAAAAAAAAGAATGGTTACAACAGAATTTAAATTACACTTGTAATATTTCATTGAAACATCAATCATTTAATTTACTTCAAGATTATTTTAAGAAATTGATTACTGATGATCCTGACATGTTTTTAAAATCTGAGGATTTTAAATATATTGAAAAACCCATGGTTATGTCTATATTAGAAAAAGATAATTTAGAATTAGATGAAATTGATATTTGGGATTTTGTCATTCAGTGGGGAATAAGCCAGGATAAAAAGTTGGAAAAAAGAAATTTTTTGGCATGGAAAAAAAGATATTTCATCAAGTTAAAAAATTTAATAAAAGATATTCTTCCATTAATAAGATTTAATCAAATTTCATCAAATGATTTTTATGAAAAGATTATACCTTATAAAGATGTTTTTGATAGAAAAATATATGAAGAAATTCTTCAATATTATCTTGGTGATAAATGGCAGCCAAGAAGAGGAACTGGAAAATCATTAAATTTGAAAATGGAATGTTTAATTGCTAGTTGGATTGATGGAAAAACATATGATCAAAATAATTTACCTTATGTATATAAATTAATTCTACGTGGATCTCAAGATGGGTTTTCTACATCTGTTTTTAGGGAGAAATGTGATAATATAGAACAAACTGTGGTTATAATGAGAATTAAAGAAACAGGAGAATTAGTTGGTGGCTATAATCCAGTTGGTTGGAATATTAAAGGAAAGCCATTAGATGAAAGATATTGGATTAAAACTGACAGAAGTTTTATTTTCAAAATTGATAAAAGTCAAATAGATAATTCAATACTAAGTAGAGTCAAAAATCCTAAATGTGCAATTCCTCATTTAATTCCTCATTTCGCTAATTTAGGCTTTGATAGAACTATTGTAAATTTTTACGATTTAGCATTATCTAACGATTTTTGTAATGGACCTTATTGTGATTATTATTATCGTCCTTATGGTAATTACGAAGATGATTTAGAACTTATAAATAATAATAAAAATGTTCATGCGATAGAAGAATTAGAAGTATATAAATTAGTGAAAAACCGGAATTAGTGCCCGTTTCAAATTCAAATTTTAAAATTAGGGTAGTTTATAATTTTTGTTGTATATAAATAATAATAATATATTTCAATCGGACAGAACCAATTAATTAGATTTCATGATCAAAGTTGACGTAAAGAAAATGATAATTTTATATTTGCATGTGTGCTTGTTACCAGACCTATTGGTTGTTTAATGGATCATTAAATTGGAGCAACACATGTTTGAACCTCTGGCAAGTAAAATTGAATTGATCAAGCAATAAATAATTGTTTATATAATAAATTATTATTAAAAATTTTTTTTTAAAACTGGCTAAAGAAGTGTTTTTGATAATGTGCTATAAGCCAACACTGGAAATCACTAGATTGTAAAGTTATTATTAAATCAGGCATGTTTACTAATGGAATATTAAAATTAAAAGAAAAAAATTTTTTTTTTTTGCCAACACTATTAATATTAATAAAATATTTGAAATCAGTTACTTTGGTATATAACACGATTTTTAGCACTTGTTGATAATTAATTACTATAATGATTTCAGGTGGTATTAATATTAGTATTAGTATGTGTTTTTGATCTCCCTTAATATCAAAGGACTGTTGTTATTTTTTTTTGTTTTTTTATGTTCAAAGAAATGTTTTAACAGATAATTTGTGGAATGCCATCAATTAATAACAATATTCAATAGAATGAATTATTAGATTTATTTTTTCTGTCTTTTTATAATAAATATACAGTATATTAAAAAGTTACCATTTTAAGAGTAGAACAAGTTCAACACACCATTTAACGAGTCTCACAAACGAGCAGCTAAAGCATAGAAGGTAGGTGTATGACATCGATGGTACAAAACAAACAATCTAATTAACTCATGTTTTTAAAAAGCTTCTAAATAATCTATCAAAGAGTCATACAGGGCAAATTAGTAAAAGAAATGCATGTGAAATTATGCATGAAGGAAAGAAGTTAGTTGGAAGCACATTGAAGGAGTTTATAATTATACAAGTAATCATGCAACAGCTAAGGCAACAAAACTCACTAAACGACATGTCTGGTTAACACCATGGATCAAGATGCGTGTTGACTTATCTGAACAAACTCTTTCGAAAGAAGTTGAAAGTGTTGCTACGCATAAACTTTATAGTAAAGAAGATAATTTTCCAAATAGAATGGTGTTTTAAAGAAGTTATTGTGACAGTAATGACTAAAGAACAAGAAAAAGAAATTATTACTAATAAAGATGAAGAATACAAAAATGTCAAAATGATATATTTAAGACCTCTATTTCAACCAAGTAATCTGTCAATTTATTACAATCATTGCATTTATTTATTAAATTAAACTTATTATAACGGTATTGTAATGAAAGGTACCGTGAAAGTTGCCAATGAATTATTATCTACTATATGTAAAAAACCAGTTTTTCATATATCTCCTTATATATTTGATTAAATTTTTTAATGTAATTTTAGGAATATTTTTGTTGTATAATATTTACAAAGGATTTTCACTACTATTAGATTCAGATTGACTATGGTAGTAACTAGATAAGTCTGCTATTGTATCTATCAAACCAGATGGATGGATTTCTCTATAAATAAAGAAATGGATTTTAGATTCACGGAAAAAATTTTAAATGTATTTAGCATGAAAAAATAAATATTACTTACGCTTGTATAATGCAAAAATTTATACCGATACAAGCCAAAGGAACCCCTATACTACAAAGAGCATAATATAATTGAGATAATAGAGTGATCTCAAATAGTTTATAACCCATTACTGCCATTGCAAATAAAGAAATTGTGCACATGAAGAAGCAACCCGTTAAGGTATAACTAAAGATACGCATCTATTTTAAAATAATTTTATATTAAATTAATGAAACTCAAATAATAATAAAGGTAATAACAAAAATTTACTTTTCGAAGATTTTTTATTAATTTTAAATGTTTCATAGTAATTTCGCTCGGATCAGAATTTTCATTACTAGCGCCAAAGAAACGTAATTGTACATTGTTTTCTCGACTTCCGTCAGGTATAACACCTGATAGTATAAAGCTTTTTTGCGTCATTTTAATTAATGTTGAACCATAATAAAATAAAGTAACTGTAATTAAGGCATGTAATATTCCATAACAAGACCTTTAATTTGAAAAAGAAAAGGAAAGCAATGGTAAATTAATCAACAAGACAATTCAATCAAAAAGAATTCTTAAAAAATAGATAACTAGTTTACCAATGTAATCCATAAGCAATTGTAACTCCAATTTCATCATTTCTGATCCGTGATAAACCTTCATATACAGCAGCCAATTCTATTGAAAAAAATTGGAATATGATTACAATCCAATAATAACATTTGATTTGGTTTGAATTTGGAAGCCTTAAGGTTTTCGTTGAGTTTGGTAGATAAAAATGCATTTTTGGTAAAGTTTTAAATCTTCAAAAGAAAAAAAATAAAATTAGCACAATGTAAAATAAATATGCGTGCGTGTTAATCGTGTTAATTTACAAAAACCATAACTTCACTCACATTCCTCCAATATAACCAATTGTTGCAATCTGGATTGATACATAACCGGATGTAAATAATATGTTTCGTAGAATATAATTTAACTTGAAGAGGTCAAATAATTGAACAACATTTGAAAATATTCTAACTTTTAAGATAAAAATAAAACTGATTAATTAATTAATTAAAAAAACCTTTTGAAGTCAATAAAAAATTTTGTTGCATACAAAAACAAAAAAATATTATCCATAACAAAAACCCTTCCAATGGTGAAAAACAACAATCATCAAATATACAACCATTCCTATACCATAATCGAAACATTAATAAACCAAATGAGAGTATTGATAATATTGATAATATTATAATTGAAATATAGTAAAGTATGTGAAGTGATGACGATTGTGTGTTTTGTTGACAATCCGTTATTGAATATGTCCATACGCATGGCAAAGAAATGTTATTATTATAATTGTTGATCGGAAAAAAGGAAGTCAACATTTGATTATATATGTATATATTAATTTATTAATTTATTCTCGATTTATCATTTTGGAAGAAATTTTTGGAGTCCGAATTTTTTTTTTTTTTTTACAAAAAAAAAGAAGAAAAGAATTTATTTTTCGTCATTTTAGTGTTTTTTTAAAAAAAAAAAAATATTTACATTACACGTAAAAAATTCTATCACAATTGATTATTACTAAAAAAGAGCAATGAAACATATAATGATTTAATTGGTTTATTTTTGTAACATAATATGATTATAGATTATTTTTAAATATAAATCACATGACTACATTTACCCTTAATCAGATGAAAGGACGATTTTTGAATAGATAACCATATCTCCAAGGTTTTTTAGGATTCCGCAATTCATTTACTATACTGGGAGGAAAAGGAGGCAGTAAATTGACTTCTAATGTTCTTCTTTCTACCTCTTCTATTCTTGTATCCCACTTAGCAGTTCCTTTAATAATTTAATTTATATTGTGAGTGAAAGAAATTAATAACTGTTCTTATTATTATTAAATATCACAAATACCTTTTTTTTCGACCTCTTTCTTTTCCTTTTTTATAGGATCATAATACATATTAAGTTTAGGGATATATCTAAATGATACAATCTTATTCTTTTTTTTCTTTTTTATCAATTCAACTCTAACTGCCTGTCTTTTATACAATAATAATAACAAAAAATAGTTATTAAGTTAATCAATTAATCAATTAAATTGATTAATTAATTAATCCATAATTAAATAAATCACTTACACATCTTTTTCTGGGATAGATCCCTCTTCAAAAGGTTTTATATGTTCAGGATGTATGAGAGAAACATTCGATACATGAATTGCTCTTAAAGTTTTCCTCATCCACCAAGAACCAGTTTTCTCAATGCTTGATGGATCAAAATCCTCTGTCTCATATTCGGTTCTTGGTGTTTTTTTACTCTTTTTTAAAAAAGTAAAAAATTAATTTTATTTGTCAATTTTTATTACTGATTGATTCACATATATTTAAAAAAATATAACTTACAAAGTTCACATTATCAACAAAGACTCTATTCGCCCATTTATCCACTTTGATCACTTTACCAACTTGGCCTTTTGTTTTACCAGAGATAATTTTTACCTTTTATTTTACACACATACACATATACACATATACATACATACATATATACACATATACATATATATATTTATACAATGAACAAATTATGAATTATTGATCTAGAAAATCTTTTTTTTTTTTTGCATAGTTAAGAAAATTTCTAATTACTATATCATCAACTTTTATTTTCCATTCCGGAATTCTATCTTTTGGATGAACCCATTTTAAATTTTGCTTGAAACGCGATGAATTTGAATCTTCAAATTTTGACCACGTTTGCCTCAGCATATGCAGTGGTTTTTCACGAGTTACTTTCTGCATTTTTACATTAGATTTTTTTTAGAGGGAAAAAAATCTTTTTTCTTGATCAATAGTAAAATTTTAGTCACACCAACACATCCAAAATCGATAAACTTTAAAGCTAGATAAGGAAATATTAGATGCTTATCTGAAATGACGATATTGCTGGTTTCAGGTTTAAAATATGTTGCATATAAAATTTCCAAATTTGAAACACTTAAAATTTTATCTCTGAAACTAAGAATTGTTTTTTAAAATTATCTCGATGATAGGTTATTTCTATTTTTCTCAGACAAACATTCAATTCATCAACTAGTTTTTCAACATTAGATAAATTCATTATTTGAACAAGAATGTCTTACCATTAAAATATGTTGGTAAACTTGTTTAATCCCATCTGATAATAATTAATTAATACACATGCAGATTCGTTCATAAATTAATTCGCGTTTTTTTTCATGCTACTGATTACTGAATTAAATTATTTATCATCACATGTGGATTCTTCGCAGTATTGTTTGTGCTTCAAATTTTGTATTAGGCAGAATGAGAACGATTTTAGTAAAAAGGATGAGATTTTTTTGTGGACAAAACATACAAAGAACTGGTTTTAGAACATACTGTAAAATTTATTATTATAATTGTAAACAATTAATATGGTAAAACTTCAGGGTATGTCATCAAAAAAAAAAATTTATTGATTCAAGCGAGAGAAGATTTACTGTTTTATCTACTAAAGTGTTTCGTTTGTAAAATTTCAATTTGTAGCTTAGAATTTTTGAATTCAAAAAATGCAATACAACCGAATATTTATTGATATTTCCCCATTTCAAAGAAAACTTTTACGTTGATAGTTGTCGTTGCAGGTGAATTAATAGTAATGGACGGATAATTTTTTTTTAATCGATGAATTTTTAAGGTTACACGAAAAAACATACGAGATTTGTTTGTCGTAAATTAATAACATGACTTGGCATTGATTTTTGTACTATACAATAATAATAACCTTATCTGCGAAAGGGGAAACGTTTAACCGATGGTCAAGATGAAATCTAATTTGAAATTTTGATATGTATTTTATCTCTTCTATAATTCTTTCCAAGCGATGGCTTTTAAATTGTTGAAGATCGAGAGTTTTTAATTTCAAACAACAACCAGGTTCAGAATTTGTGATGGTTATTATTACTATGACTCTATGACTTCCCGTGCTTTCCCTTCGAGGGATAAATTCATTAATGTATGCATTTTATATTTTATTTCAACACCCAACTTACTGTCTTAAATTGTTTAAATGTCCCAGTAGCATAGTAGAAATTCTATTTTGATCGACATTTGCAATTATCACATTTCCATTTCAGTATATGATTTTTGTGTTACATAATTTTATGAAACTTGCGATTAGTACAAAGGCCATTTTTCGTTCTTGGTTCCAAGCAAGCATACAATA